ATCAAAGATGATGTTGGCTAAAACTCCTGTGTTGCTGTGTTTGACAAGAGCTGCAGTTGTTTTGGCATGTCTGCCATGCCCTATAAATGCTACCGTGAACTATATTCCTTCTCACCCTTGACTTTGTGCTTTTTAGGTTCTGACATTTGCACTGGTTTTAAGCAAAACACTGAACCAACTACAGTATTTTTTTAGGAAAAGAAAAAGTGTATACCCTGTGATGCTAAAAAGTGTTATAACTCTTAGCCGAATCAATTAAATCCAAATCTATTAATGCATTCATATTATTCATATTGACTCATTCTTGTTTTAGAGATTCTGTACAAAAAAAATGAGTTTTTAGCCAGAACATTAAACAAAATCAAGTTTTTAGAACAAATATGTTTTATGAAGGTGATGGCAGAGTGAGTAGCTCTATCGCCACAAAGCAAGAAGGTTGCTGGTTCGAGCCCTGGCTGGGTCAGTTGGTGTTTTTGTGTGGAGTTTGCATGCTCTCCTCATGTTTGTGTGGGTTTACTCTGGGTGCCCCATTGTCCAAAGACATGCGCTACAGGTGAATTAGGCAAGGTTATTTATCCGCAATGTATGTGTGTGGATAAGTGTGTATGGGTGTTTCCCAGTGATGGGTTGCAGCTGGAAGGGCATCCGCTGCATAAAACATAAGCTGGATAAGTTGGCGGTTCATTCCACTGTGGCGACCCCAGATTAATAAAAGGACTAAGTCAAACAGAAAATGAATGAAGGAATATACATTACATATTCGCTAAGGTATTTTATCTGAGATGCAACAGACATCTTAAGAAGGAAACAGTAGAGGAGCTAGGAGTGTGCGACTAAATATCTACTGTACTATCTCCTATAATATTGTCTGCTATCTTCTAATTGTTGTTTTAAATTGTTTCAACCACATATTGTATTTGATTAAGAAATAATCAAAAATAATTTAAGCTTCTTGTATTTGATTAAGAAGTTTAAATGCACCATTTTGGTGATAGTTTATGAAATATTTTGTGCTGGATTAACTTGTTTTCTAGAATCGTGTGCATGCTTTTTGCAGTAGCAAAAATGATGATGGTTTTGTCAAATTGCTTATGTAGATCATGTGCAAATTATGTCAGTGCAAACACACACTACTTTTTTTTTCTTAGAGGTTGACATATAGTGATATTCAATAATGCTATATATTGTGATATTCAATATGCAAAACATTATTATTTTTACTTTCAGAGGGCTTTGTAAATATATTCAGATTATATAAGTGGTTGTTCATGACATTGTAATACAAATAATTACCAAAAAAAAAAAAAAAAAATTACATAAATTAATTTAAAGGAAAAATTCTGGACCTATTGGCTGTTGGAGGTGGGTCGTTCAAACCCAACCGAACGCCCCCTGACTACGGGCATGTAATGTTAATGCAACACCACATTGGCACATTACATTGAAAGTAATTGAAAAATGGCTAAAAAGGGACCTATTATGCCTCTTTTTTAAAAGATGTAAAATAAATTTCTGATGCTCCTACTGTGTATGTGAAATATCAGCTGAAAGTACAACACAAATAATGTTTATAACTCTTAGAAACTGCCCATTTTAGGCTTTGATGTTAATTGTGCCGTTTTGGTGACTGTCGCTTTAAATTCAAATAAGGTTGTGCTCTTTTTAAAAGAGGGAGGAGCTATAAATGCCTATGTGTCAGCATAGTGGCTGATTCAAAAACAAGACTAATGTCCTATGCCAATGAAGGAGAGGTGGTCTCTAGTGGGCGGGGCTTTCCCACTCTGATGACACATGCAAAGGGAGAATGTCAAGTGTTTTTGCAGACTTTTTTATCAAGTGCGATTATAAAAAATTAAATTCATACATTTTTGTCATTGGAGGCTGGTTATTTTCACACAATGTTTCCACACAACTGTTTAATCCCTTATAAAAGTGATTAATGCATAATTGTAACCCTTTTAAAATGTGAAGTCCTGGTTTCATTTGTTTACTCTTACCACTGATATTTTAAATTTGATTACAAATAACTCAGACATTTTCTATTTTAATGTGAGTTCATAAATTATTTTCTTTTATTTAGCAAAATATCAAAAGGATGTTGTTATGTTCTTTATAAAAAGTCATATTTTTATTAACTTTTCATAAATTACATTGTGTTTGGACAAGTTTGGACAAAATGAGGCAACTGCGAGCTAGCAGCTGAGCCTTCCTCCTGACTGACTCCACATGGGGGAGGGGAACATGACATGATCCAAACACATTAGTGGCCCCAAACAGCATTTGCACATTGATGGTACACTCCTAAGTTCAACATTTGAGGAAAACAGTTGTTATCTGACTTTTCATGCAATTGAAATCTAGAATAATAACATTAGTTAGCTGAGACTATATGGAGTTAGATTTGTCCCAAATAAAACGCACAAAACTTTTCCAGAAACAAACACAAATATACATTAATGGCAAAAAACAAAACAAAAAAACACTGTCTTCAAAAAAAGTGTATTATTAGTTCGGTTCACTTTCTGCTTCGATTTCAATAAACACAGTTTTCAATGAGATGTCAATCAAAATCTCCTAAACCAATAAGAACAAATAGCAGGTAAGCCCGCCCCCATGAGAGCGTTGTGCCAGAATCACAAATGTAAATTTGAGAAACGTAAAGGAAAACTCTGGCAGCGCAATCAAAACTGTGTTTATCAAAAGCGAAGCAGAAAGTGAGCCAAACTAATAATACACTTTTTTTTTTGCTTGATTATTTTGTATTTTTCAAGAGTTTTTTAATTTGTTTATGTATATTTATGTTCATTTCTAGAACCATTTTGTGTGTTTTATTTGGCACAGATCTAATTCCATAAGACTAGAGTGTTCAAGTACTTTTTTGGGCTACTGTAAATATGCAGTTGCTGTGCACTGTATCCAAACCACCTTATGTTATTCTGTTTTGTGATCTCATCTTCTGAAATTAGCTCTGCTTCTGAAACTAGACTTTTAATATCACCTTCTGGCTGCTTGCTTTATGATTTGAATCACACTGACAGTAAAAGAAAAGCCTCCCAGACCTATAGTGACCCACGGCTGTAAATGTGCTCTTCACTGCTGTGACTTTCACATCAGATGAACCAGATGCTGCAAGGAACAAACAAACAGAAAAACCTTTATGTTTGTGTTATGGATATGATAGCTGGCTGACATCCAGTTAATTAGCAAGTGTAATAATATTAATTTACAGTTGAAGTCGCAACTATTAGCCCTCCTGTGATTTTATTTTTTAACTGATCTTTAACATAGCAAGTATTTACTATATTTTTTCTTCTATAGAAAGTCTTATTTGTTTTATTTTGGCTAGAATAAAAGCAGTTTAAATTTTTTAAGGTCAATATTATTAGCCCTTTCATGCAATATTTTGCCTAAAAACTTGCCCAGTTAACCTTATTAACCTAATTAAGCCTTTAAGGTCGGACTCACACTATGTACAGTTGCCTTGAACTGGACTGAAGCATGCTTGTCCCCCCTTCCATCTCTCCCGACGGCCCGCACTCACATTGCATTTGCACCTGAGCACGCTTATGTCATCGATGATGCGCTATTCAGTAAGAAGCACTCTCGCTCAGCATAGCGGAGATTTCTTTAGTTATATCATTTTAGTTGATTGGGATGCAGTCAAATATTTCATCGAACAGATCAGTCACTTTTGATGCTCATAAACAATCATAAAGCCTGCATGCTGCAGGAATTAGGAGGTTTGCTAAAGGTGCATCTGTTGCGCAGCGAGGGGTTTGTGTCTTTAAAAAACTACGACAGTTTGTGTTTATTGAACAGTAAGAATGATTAATAAATGATTAAGTGAACAAATTATTAAAAAATCCGTATGAAACAGTCCCTTAAATGTCACAATTTCAAGCTTTGAGCCCAAGTGAACCGCCCTCTGACACACCTTTTCAAACTGGGTCAGGGCCGGCCAAGTGAACCGTGCCTAAACCCAAATCAGAGCACTCACACTTCTCAAACGATCCGGGAAATGGGCCTGGGCACGGTTAGAAGAGCATAGTGTGAGTGTGCCCTAAATTTACTTTAAGCTGAATACTAGTATCTTGAAAAATATTTAGTGAAATATAATTTACTGTCATCATGGCAGAGATGAAAGAAATCAGTTGTTAGAAATGAGTTATGAAAACTATTATGTTTAGAAGTGTGTTTAGAAAATCTCATCTCTGTTAAACAGAAGTTAGGGGAAAAAATAAACAGGATGGCTAGTAATTCAGGAGGACTAACAATTGTGACTTCAACTGTATATAATGACCCCAAATGTTTTAATCCGAGTGAATGCCATTTTCTAAACAGAAACAAACAGGGATACCACATGGCCAATATGGTGTATTTTAATATATTCTAAGACCTTCTCTGTATTATTCACATGTCATGTGAAAATGACTCAAATATCCTTCTACTTCCTCTCACATGAATACATAATGTGATGATGTTTTTGTGCTTGTGCCTGGATGAAGGTAGGTGGACAACAAGTAGACTTGACTGATGTTTATACCTTTTATTAAAAGGAAATTAAATGCTAACATGGGGAAATGCCCAGAAATCTGAGCTATTTCTATCAACAATCGTAATAATAGTATTTGGTATGCACGATGCAGATATATCCTGTTGAGTAATTCAATCTTTTGCAATCTCTCAGAGAACTCCAAAAGTGCTGATGATGACTCACGTCTTGTCTTTTATTTTTTATTTCTCAACAACTATAATTCATATAAACCATTTTGTCTGAACTTTCAGTGTCTTTCATCTAAAAACTCTTTAGAGGGATGTGTCTGGAATGCTTTCTAGGTTGCTGATGGAAATAAGCTCATTAGCATTTGAGGAAGTAGTCAAGATCATCAGCAATAGTGTATTTCCCGAGAGATGTAGCCATCATATCATGTGTAATTTTGTGCATTTCAATTGCAGATCTTCATATCTGATGAGTTTCTGCGCATTTGTCTGTTTTATAGGACATCTGTGAAGACATATCTGATCATGTCGAGCAGATCCACGCACTGTTGGAGACCGAGTTCTCCCTGAAGCTCCTGTCCTATTCTGTGAACATCATAGTGGACATCCGGAGTGTGCAGCTCCTGTGGCACCAGCTGCGAGTGTCGGTGTTGGTTCTGAAAGAGCGGCTTCTCCAGGGCCTGCAGGACTCCAACGGGAACTACACCCGGCAGACTGACATCCTACAAGCCTTCAGCCAGGATCACGACCAGGTCAGATCCATCTCTAAAACATTCTCCAAATTAAACCACCTAAAGCGGGTTCACCCTTTGATATAAGTACATCCTTTGATAATTCCCAAGGACGGGAACTTAGTTATGCAATGTTCTGCTGGGATTGTACCATAAAATCATTTGCAATACCCTTCACCAAGACATTCAGAATAGGGCTGCCACAATATATTGTTCTAGCATTGGTTTCACAATGTGCTCACCTGCAATAGTCACATCGATTGACCCTAAAAGTTGGCACCAATAGCATAGTGGTTCAGTGTGCTGACATATAGCACTAAGGTGATCATGGTGACCCAAGTTCGATTCCTGACTCAAGGTCCTTTGCCGATCCTTCCTCTGCTTCCAATGCTTTCCTGTCTGTTATATCCACTGTCCTATCATAATTAAGGAGAAAAATCCCTACAATAATAATGATAATAGATTAATAATAGCCCTATTAGATTGAACGTTTTGTTTACTGTAAGTCCTGTGACTATGTCAGATATCAAGAAAATGCAAACCATGAGTCTCAAACTTAACTCAATTCCCGGAGGGCCGCAGTTCTGCACAGTTTTGCTCCAACCCTATTCTAACAGCTTTCAAGATCTGAACATCTTGATTAGTTGTATTAGCTGTGTCTGATTAGGGCTGGAGCAAAACTGTGCAGAGCTGCTGCCCTTTAGGAATTGAGTTTGAGACTCGATAAACAATTTGGGCACAAGAAATTATACAATATGCGGCTATGATTTTTTTTCCATTATCATGCAGCTTTCATTCAGAATAGGCAACCCTAGTAGATACTTGCGCCACATTGTACTTGCTTATCTCAAAGCAGGATAGGATAGAATAGGAGAGATTTGATTACATTTTCAAAATGACCTTTGTCTTGATCACCTTTAGGCTCGACTGGACGCTTTGACCGAAGTTGATGACTCTGGCCAACTGACCATTAAATGCAGTAGGGATTACTTCTCCCTTGACTGTGGCATCACAGCTTATGAACTGAGCGACTACAGTCCTATTGAGGACCCAGAAGGTCGAGGACCACACTCGCTTTATCCTGAGCTGGAGCAAGACTTTCCAGAGCTGCTTCAGAGTGTGGATCTCCTCAACATTGCAGCCTCCAGACAGAACCAGTTGTCAGCGTCATCTACAGAGGAGTCTGTTACCTCCACCCAAAAACCTCAAGAGACAATCAGTAGCCCCACAGAAAAAGAAGAAGAAGGTACAACAGATTCAGCAATGCAGGACGATTCCAACTTTGGCCTTTCCAAGAGGCCTCTCCATGGTGGCTTTAGGAGTGAACTATCTCCAACACAGCCTTTGCCTAAAAAACCCATGTACCTGGAGGGTGATGGAGATACCAGGTTTAGTAGACCTTCACCTCTTCAGTACCAGGCTGACTTGAGCAGAAGCACACCTTCTCTTTTGGATACTCTAGATCGAACAAAATTTTGGCTGGAGCTAGAATCTGTTTATCCAGGCAGCGGGAGCCAATCCTACGAGAGTCTCTATGGCATGAATGCAAGGAACTTGCAAATAGGACTCAAAAGGTCTGGTCAGGTTCCTCTTGAAAGACGATTATCGGAAGCTGAGCATGAATTTAGCAAGCAGAAACACTTGTCAAACCCTAAGACTATGCACTCCAAAGCAAAGCAGGCTTACAGTGACTCTTCCAGCCCACCGCCATCTTCAGGAGAGGACATTTCAGACCACGAGCCACGTGCAATGTCCTCCAGTCCTGATGATCAAGCTCCGGCAACAAATTCTCTGTGGATCATGAACCAGAACGCTCTGTGCATCTCTAATGCATCGAGCAACCTCAAAGAGCACTGGTACGGCTCAGATGAGTTCCTCGCTCTTCCTGCCCAGCTGAAAAAGACAGAGATTCTGGCAATGAAGCTGGAAAGCCTCACTCAGGCTTTACCCCAAAGAGGCCTACAAGAGTCCATTCAGGACGTGGATGACTGGGAGCTCACTGAGGTCAACCCTGATTGGGAGAGCAGCACTGATCTCCATTTGCTGCACCCCTATAAGAAGTCATCCCGAACCGGGCGCTTTTCTCCTACTTCCTCAAGCGATGTGGCTCCTTCTTTGGATGACAGTATCGAATCTGGACCCCTCAGCGAACTAATGTCTGAGGACGAGGGGGCAAGGAGTACACCAGAGTCCAGGGCAAGAAATGTATCGAGTGAGCTGCCCAATGTACCAAAGATGATGATTCAATGCACACCATTGATAAAGCAACTGCTAGCAGATATTCAACACCAAGACAACTATGATAATGTCTGGACAAAGATAGAGGTAAGAGATTTCTGCTTTTGTGGCACAGTATTCTCTCAAAATTTTCAATTTTATTTACAGAATACCATTCCCCACATAGAAATTGGATAGACTGTTTTGAGGGTTGTAAACAAAAGCAATGGTCTGTCTATCTATCTATCTATCTATCTATCTATCTATCTATCTATCTATCTATCTATCTATCTATCTATCTATCTATCTATCTATCTATCTATCTATCTATCTATCTATCTATCTGTCTGTCTGTCTGTCTGTCTGTCTGTCTGTCTGTCTGTCTGTCTGTCTGTCTGTCTGTCTGTCTGTCTGTCTGTCTGTCTGTCTGTCTGTCGGTCTACCTATCTACCTGTCTATCTATCTGTCTATCTATCTTTCTGTCTGTCTGTCTATCTATCTATTATAGATTGAGAATATATCTTTCCATCCATCCATCCATCCATCCATCCATCCATCCATCCATCCATCCATCCATCCATCATCTATCTGTCTATCTATCTATCTATCTATCTATCTATCTATCTATCTATCTATCTATCTATCTATCTATCTATCTATCTATCTATCTATCTATCTATCTATCTATCTATCTATCTATCTATCTATCTATCTATCTATCTATCTATATATCTATCTTTCCATCTATCTTTCCATCTATCTATCTATCTATCTATCTATCTATCTATCTATCTATCTATCTATCTATCTATCTATCTATCTATCTATCTATCTATCTATCTATCTATCTATCTATCTATCTATCTATCTATCTATCTATCTATCTATCTAGCGACAGACACTCGAGGTCAGCGACAGACACTCGAGGTCATGGTCTTTAGTCTACTTGTTAGAGCAGCCAGCTCCCATGCGGAGAGTTGCCAGTTTGATCCCAGCTCGGAGCGGATTGGGTGGTGTTGTACCGGCGGGGGTTATATATGTACAATCCAAATGTGAATTTTTATGTCATATATGTAATTTACCTATAGTTCCATGCATCAAATTTCCATGTGGGGCCGTATATTTCAAACCATAGTATGCTAGCTTTATTGTTACGTAATTAGCATGAAATTAGCTCTTAACTTTATTTCGTATTTTTGATTAAAATATTTAAAATTTTTGGAAGACAAATAAGAAGTGCCTGTAGCCATTTCTGCTTCCCTTAGCACTTAAAACCACACATAGCCAGTCCTGCAACAAAATCTTAAAAGCGCACCCAAGTGTTAACGCTAACCCTCTCCATGATTAACGTTAGATTTATCACAGTTCTGCAGTTTGTATTTAATTTGAAAGGGATATAATCGTAAAGGAAGTCATTTGTATGCCTTAATCCTCGTCCGCATAGAGGCGGCAGCTAATATGTGTCACTACACTAAGCAGATATTAAAAACAGCTGATAACTAAAGGGGTAATGAACTAACAAGCCACCTCAGCCTTTTGCTAATATTCAAAGCTTAATTAACAGGATTGCACTCCTCGACAACCTCTCTTCAGTCCCAAGTCTGTAATTAAATGATTAGCTACATAATTAAGAACATGCAATCGTGTTTATAAAGGACCCGGGTGCTTGAGGAAACCCAAATTCGTTGGATTAGTTATTCCCTTTCTCATGGGTTATGTGGGAAATGGTATTCAACCATGGTATTCTTGCTAACGCTGATGTATGTGGTATTTAATACATGAACAGAAGGCACATTTCTGTATACATTCAAATACCCAAATGACCTAGTATATTTGCTGAAATAAGCAGTATATTTACAACAGTAAACAATAATGTAGTTTATTCTGTAGTTTATTCTGAATTAGCAAGCAACATGCAGTATGTGTTGATGTAGTAAGTATATTATGCAATTACATTTTAGTTGCAGCTGTTATTTAGCTATTCAACCTATATGTAAACCAAATTGGGCCTTAGTTTTGAAAAGTTTAAACAAATATTTCATTAAAATGGCATTAAATATTCACATTAGATGCAAAAATCAAGAATCACATGTTATATTTATTAATTTATCTTATGATTTCAATCTAGGCTACTGTTTGAAGTTCTTAAAATGGTATAATTCATATTGTTTACCCAAACTTAGCATAGCAAGCAACATGTAGTATGTACTTGTACTAAATATATTATGCCATTATATTTTAGTTTAAACTGTTATTTAGCTATTTAACCTAAGTGTGAACCAAATTGGTTGTAGTTTTGAGTGGTTTAAAAAAGAAATTATTAAAAAAGGCATTAAATATTCACATTAAATGCAAAAAATCAAGAATTACACAATATAATATCTAATTTTGCTTCTGATTTTAATCTAGGCTACTGTTTGAAGTGCTTGTAATGATATAATCCATATTGTTTAACCTAAATTAGCAAGCAACATGCAGTATGTGTTGCTGTATTAAGTATATTAAGCCATTATATTTTAGTTTCAGCTGCTATTTTGCCATTTAAAATATGTGTAAACCAAATTGGTTTTGAGATTTGAGTGGTTTAAAAAAAATTTCATTATAATGGCTTTAAATTAGCAGGAAACATGCAGCATGTTTTCCTGTAGTAAGTACATTATGCCATTATATTGTAGTTGCAGCTGTTATTTAGCAATTTAACCTATGTGTGAACCAAACTGGACCTCAGTTTTGAGTGGTTTAGAAATATTTCATAAAAACAGCTTAAAATAATCACATTAGATGCCAAAATCGAGAATTACGTATTATATTAATAATTTAGCTTATGATTTCAATCTAGGCTACTGTTTGAAGTGCTTATAATCTATATTGTTTACCCAAAATTAGCAAGCAACATGCAGTATGTATTTGTAGTAAGTATATTAAGCCTTTATATTTTAGTTTCAGCTGCTATTTAGCTAGCTGACTGCAAGCAGCCATGCATAGAACCATCTTAAGCCTCAAAATATGAAAGCATATCACAATATTTTTATGTTAGGCCACAAGGTTAGTTCTATTAGTTTAGTTCACTGCCTAAAAGACATAGAGGCGTACTGTTGCCATCTGGTGGTCAAATATAAATACACGCTAGGAACAGCATTCTGGAGACCTAAATGAATATTAAAAAAGTACTGTCGACCCTGTTTATGAAAATACATGTAGACAATACAATTGAATGCAATGTTGCTAATAATATGTTGTAGTGCCCCAAAACAAGAAAAACTGGTTATTACTCGGACAGTAAAATGATTACTTCCAAGATAACCTGCTGTCAGCATCTATTTTCAATACATTTATTTATTTTCCTTCAGCTTAGTCTCTATTTCAGAAGTTGCCACAGCGAAATAAACCACCAACTATTAATATTACTTTTATTTACCACGTAGCAATTTGTTTTGTTACTGGTGCTCCATCTTATACTCATCACTCTCAACTGTATTCTTTATTGAATTGGCCTTCTCTTCAATCACGTCGACAAATTCATTGGTTTCGGTTCATTTACCCTTTTCACAAGACTGTTATTACACATTTAACGGTCATCATAATCTTAAATCCTTGAAAGTTTTTAAAATATTTTTATTATTTAAAAAAAAAATGTTTGAAGATTTATATGCATTTATGAATGTATTATATTATTTTTGCATTAAATTACCAAAATTGAATGACCGCTTGTGTGAGGCATTTCTAATGCAGCGACTATGGGGCTGAGAGTAAATTTGACGTTATTCTCTCCCCTGGCTGCAGTTATCAGTCTCACACAATTTTTTTCTTTTTCTGAAAGTCTTAATAACACCATCACAAGTTGTTTTGTTTTATTATTTCAGCAAATAAGATATACTTTCCCATTTATTGTGCTCTATACCCAACTATGGCGCCTTCCGCTACTGAGAAACTCAGAAATGTGAAAAGGGTCTATTAGGAAAACTCTATCATATTTACAGTCACTACTTAACATTCAGAAAACATGTCGGTGCCTATAGCCTAGTGGTTAGTGCGTCAACACATAGCACCAAGGTGCTCACGGCGACCCGAGTTCGATTCCTGGCCCAAGGTCCTTTGCCGATCCTTCCCCATATCTCTCCCCCTATCTCTGCTCCCCACACTTTTCTGTCTGTAAAATCTCCACTCCACAAAAAAAAAACAAAAATAAATAAAAATAAATAAAAAAAACATTCAGAAAACATGTCAAAATCTGCGCTCTAGTAGTTTTACTAAGCATTGTATACCCTTAGTTTGCACTTTATTTGATTGCTACTCCTTTCCGTTTTCTGCTGCTGATGCTTGGAATCATCCGCAGCAGACCTTACAGCACAACACTTATTCCACTATTATCCTTTAAAAATTTAATCCAGTTAATAGTACAAGTTCAATGTGCTTGTTTTTAGTTTTTCCTTTCTATTATCTGCATTTGTGAAACTGTCATTGTGTTGTGTTCCTGCTGCTTCATATCTGCTTTCTATGTTGGCCAGGTTGTCATTGTAAATGAGGTCTGGTTGTCAATTGACTTACCTAGTTAAGTAAAGGTTATTATTACTATTCCGGCATATGTTTTACGCAGCGGATGCCCTTCCAGCCGCAACCCTGTACTGGTAAACACCCATACACACTCATTCACACACCCTACAGCCAATTTAGTTCACCCAATTCACCTATAGGGCATGACTGTGAGGAAAACCTGCGCCAACTAGGCATGGGCCGGTATAAGTTTCTAATGTGTATGATAACCTTGGATAAAAATATCACAGTATCACGGTATTGTGATTACTGCTCCAAAATAAGTTATTTTTCAACTGTCTGGGTAACAAAATAACAACTTTTCCCCCATTTAACACAATAAATTTTATTTTAGGAAACATTTAAAGTATTTTGGACCAGTAACTTTTGACATAGAGATTCATTTTTTGCTGGAGATACTGTTGCCCTATAAAACTAAATAAAATAGTTGAGAAAAACATACATACACACACACACACACACACACACACACACACACACACACACACACACACACACACACACACACACACACACACACACACACACACACACACACCTGCTCCAAGTCTCCA